ATCCGACCTACAAAAAGTGTACATCCGACCTACAAAAAGTGTACATCCGACCTACAAACAGTGTACATCCGACCTACAAACAGTACATCCAACCTACAAAAAGTGTACAGATCCGACCTACAAAAAGAGTATATCCGACCTACAAATAGATATGTACATCTGACCTGCTCCATGCACATGACTAGAACTCAATCATGCCTGTAGGTCGGATTAAAAAAATAAAATGAGTAACCGACCTACAGCTGTCGTAGGTCGGATATAGCAATAGGTCAGAAAGTTAGTAGGTCGGAAGTTCAGTATAGAGGATGTTGCGTATAGACGATGCAACATTACCAATTTTGTGTTATAAACTGTATCATTGTTTGACGCGCACGTCCTCATGAATTATAAACTGATAATTAAAAAAAAAAAAAAAACTGAATTTATAGAAAAATTAGTTCAAATAAGCAAGTAATGTGTAGATTTGAACTACAGGGAATGACGTCATGTCAGTATTTCAAATGAACAATAGTTCAAACGAACAATAGTTAAAAGTTTGAAATTTCAAATCGAAGACGACTAAGGTAGCCTTGGAAATAGAACATGCGCAGTGTGACGTCATAATACAACGACGTCACATATAGACGGAGAGAGAGAGAGAGAGAATGAGAGCCACTCTGTACCAGCCGTGCTGGGTATTCTATTCTTTAATGGCGGATACATACAAAAGCTGAAACACAAGAAATAGCATTGTTCTGCAATCAAGACCCACGCCCCTTTTTCATTAAACTCTGGTTACAAATAAAATTGCACCGCCCATTTATCGTTAAAACCTAGTGATGTTGATTTCTTTTCCTGACCTGTGACTGAAATGAACGGGATGGGTTTAAGTTTAAGTGAAATATGTTGTCTATTTTGTTGTCCTCCCTGCCCTTCCAAGATTGCTGCTAAACTAGCGTTCCTTCCTCCAGAAACTACATATTCATATGAGGTTAGTTCCATGGTGATAAAACTGTAGGACTAAGATTTATTTTTTCCGTCCTGTTAAGGACATTTTCATGTTTTGTACTTTGTTTTCTATAAATATGGGGGCGTGACCCAGTTAGGTTGGTAAATGCAATGACCACGCCCAATAATTATTAAAATTTCTGAGTTTTATCTAAATATACTTCTCTGTCCACTTTTCATCCCCTATCCTATCTTATTTCCATCCTCTCTCCTCAAAGGCGTATACAGGGACCAGTCTAGGAGGAGGTAGGTTGTACACTGCCCTTTACCTGGTTCGGGTCCGTCCTAGTGAACGATTTTTGGCCCCACCTCCCCCTCCTATCAATTTTGTACATGGATCTTACAGAAAGTGTCTTAAAATAACCTAACCTGCGGCCGCACCGCTCGGCCTCCTAGCCTGTCCCAGCCGCAGCGCTCGGCCCAGAAAGTGTCTTGGGGGGGGTCCAAAATCGTATAATAGGACGGACCCCACTTTTCTGTCCTTTTTTTGAATTCTTCCTCCACTCTCGTTCCATTTTCTTCTCGTTTAGTTTCGACTCTTAAATCCTGAGTTGGGTAGGGGTGTAGTTTTTTATAATATATATTTACCGAGGGGTTTGGTACTTCAAAATATATACCCCTTTTAAAAATATATGCTACTGATGAGTGGGTAGTGGTGTTGTTTTTCTAAATCTTGGAAGCGTCGTAGTTTTTTATGATAAGATACTCCTGAAGGGGCAGGGGTGTGTTTCTTTATATTATATACCCTTGAAGGATTGGTTGGGGTGTAGTTCTTTTTAAAAGATACCCCTAATGAGGGCAGGGGTGTGGTTTTTCACATAATTTACCCCCCATGGTTTTCTGGGATTGTGGTTCTTCATAATATATACTAGCTGAATGGCCCGGCGTTGCCCGTGGAAGAAAAATAAATAAAATTTAAAAAAAATATTTTAAAGTTTTTTAGTCTAAAAGACCCATCGGCGATACGCTACATTTATATGAATGTCTTGTTTTATTATATAGATATGCCTAAGGGATTATTAGGTGGTTCTTTAAAATACATAACTCTGAGTGGGGTGGAGGTCTAGATCTTACAATTTATCAACTAGCATTATTCACTCTAATCGTCATATGTATTAATAGTAATTATCTGCACATTGCGTTTAAAATTTTGTTTTTAAAATCATGCCCTTTTCCTGCAATCATTTAGAATTGGAAATAAAACAATAACCTTGTATAAAGAAATGTTAAACAAGTTTAACTCAGGACTTTAAACATCCTTGACATATAATCTAGAGGAAACCGACCTTAATGGTACACAAATTAATAATCGAATAAATTCCTCTTACTGCATGTTTTACGGATCTAAATCGTTTCCCAAATCCCCATAATAATTACTTGTAACCTAACCTTTTATTAAAGATTTCATCAGTGTTTAGGTGTGCAAATCCTGAGGTCAGGAAACAAAATTTAATCAGTTTTCTTTAGATCATAACAGATAAAAGGTTACCGTCACGGCCATAAGAAACTGTTGTTTTTCTAGGATGAAGACGAAGCGAGGGATAAACAAAAACTGGTTTTGAGTGAGAAAGCAGAATGGCAGTACTCAGACAGAGAGAAGGAAAACCTAGAGGTAAATTCAAACCTGTTTATTATTATTTGCCAATCCGTTGACTCAGTGTTGATTCATTAGTTTGTTGATTCGAAGATCGATTAATTTTTAAATTAATTGATTATATACCCAAGACTTTTTTATATGCAATAAAAATTTTATTTATTTTGACTTTCTCGTAATATATTTTTTCTCTTCCGTTACACAGTATGGATCCCTGTATGATATAGGTTTTGATTTGATTACAACAAGATTAACTTCGGAATGATTTTGCATTTAATTTGAATGAATGCAAATATTAATGCATAATTTAATATCTAAATTAATAAATAAATTTACACTTGTCATAAACCCTACGTTTACCCGCCATTTTATGTCACAATCGTAGTATCAGTAGTGGGGTATATTTTCTTGAAAACTATTTCCCCGCTCTTCGCTGAATTTGAAAAATTAATTACTTTTCATGAAACCTTTTACGCATCGGAAAAGGGAAAACAATTTTTCGGCTGATCCCTAATTTCTTCTTTTCACAAAAACAACTGGAAAAATCATCTAAAAGGGAGGGCGGATTTTATATGTTAATAAAACCCCTGTAAGAATACGTTTAGATATATAATTATTGTTATTTCAGGTGTTCTACACCAGAACCAACAGAGGGAACAAGATCGCTTGTATGATGGTTAAATGCTCTCCTAATGCTAGGTAGGTGTATAAAAAAAATCTTTTCAAAATCCGAATCGGTTTTTTATAAGACGGATTCCAGAATTCAGATCTAGGTCAGTTTTTCAGAAGAAGCATCTAGAAAACAGAACTAAATTCATGTGCTTTTTTTCAACCAAATCCAGTGTCTAGGTACGGGGCAATGTTTTGCAGGACTCATTCAGAATCCGGGGTTGGATTCATGCTTTGCAGGGCGTGGATTATGAATCTGGGTCAGTTTTTTTATTATTCATAACGTATACCTGATCCGTGTTCGTTTTTTACAGGAAGGATCTAAATCCCCGTTCCGTCTTTCTCGAGACAGATTTAATATACCATTCTGTTCACCACATAACAAATACAAATTTCAAATCCTATTCTTTTCACCACAGAACAGATTCAGAATCCCAATCTGTTCACCACAACAAATTCAGAATCACATCTGTTCATCATAACAAATTCAGAATCCTAATCTGTTTACCACAAAAATAAATTCCTAATCTGTTCACCACAACAAATTCAGAATCCTATCTGTTTATCCCCAACAAATTCAGAATCCCAATCTGTTTACCACAAAGAAAAGATTCATAATTCCCATCTGTTTAAAACACAACAAATTCAGAAACCCAATTTGTTCGCCATAGAATAGATTCAGAATCCCAATCTGTTCAGTGTTAATCACAGATCAGATCCATAATCCCAATCTGTTCACCACAGAACTGACATTGTATCCCAATCTGTTCACCACAGATCAGATCCATAATCCCAATCTGTTCACCACAGAACAGATTCAGAATTGTTAAATATTTAATGTGAATTGATTTAGTAGTCGGCTCTTTCATAGAAAAATCAAAATCATAAATATTTCATAAAAAGTAGAAATTAATCTTTTAATCTCATTGATCAGGAAGATGTCATGGGCGTTCACAGAAATTTTCTGCTGCGCGCTGGTTGTATTCATTTATTCAGAAATAGTTTTCTTATGATTAGAAATTTTAACAAAGTTTTGCATTTTATTTACTTGATTATGCTATAAACTGTGCTTTATTGTTTTACAGTTTATGTATCCAGAGGTGGGAACTTTTTTCAAATATTTTATATCTTTCACGCTTGTTCTCGATGATCAAGCTTAGATGCTCAATAGAAAGGCTGTTGAAAAATAAACTTCACACCTATCCGATCATAATGAAATTTATATCAGTGTCTCTAGGATATTAGGACTGATAATTTGGTCAACCCTGCTCTGAATAAATGCTTTTTATCTCTAGGGGATGGAACTGATTTCATTATAATGGGATAATAATCAAGCTTGTGAGAGAAGAAAGTGTGAATTGTTGGTTTTTTTCATCACCCTTTTAGATATCTATACAGCGTAAAACACCACGGGATATCGAACGTGTCCAAATTGGATATTTAGATCAAGTATTTAAGATTTATGATATTCCAGTTGTACAAAAGTTCTAACCTCAATTGATTTAGTTCCAGCCGAGTAGTTTATTATTCATACATTCATAAATAAAGAATTTATTCAATTACTCTCCGACCGACTTTTCTCATTTTTGTTTAAGACACCATTTCATGAAAAAAATGTTGAATATTTAAAATTTCCCAATTTTTTTATGTCCATGTTAATTTTGAAATGTTTAATAACTTTTAAAAAATCGTCAAAACTCTATTGACCATTTAGATATGGAAGGGGATTTGAGTTTTGAAGGGAAGGGGAAGTTGTCTTTTTAGTTGTTTTGGTTAATATTTTACCCCTTGGGATCCGACTCTACGATTCCATTTGACTAAATTGATTTGGATCATAAAGAGACTGCGTAATTTTAAGTGACCCTGCATGCAAAGATAGCAATGCACAATTCACAACGGTACCCTGGAAACTCTAATATGAAAAAATGAGGGAGAAATTGTCGTTTTTATGACTCTCAAAGTGTTAAATTATGGTAATTTCGCCATTATTTTTTATATGCTAGAAATGCCGAAGTCACTTTTGCAGAGAAATAACAATAGAGAATAAAAGTTTTGAATAAACAAAAACAGCTTTCAAGGTTATTGTTGCAAATCGAGCATTGCCATCTTTGCATTGGAGGTTCTCTTTAAAAAGCACAATTTTTTATTACTACTGTCTAGGTTTACAATCCTCCACTCTCACGGGAACGCAGTTGACCTGGGTCAAATGTCTAGTTTCTACCTGGGTCTAGGATCTAGGATCAACTGTAATATATTCAGCTACGACTACAGTGGATATGGAGTATCTTCAGGTTCGTCTAAATATGTCCCCCCCCCCCCTCCCCTAAAATTGGACTGGCTTTTTAAAGTTGTTAAATAGGACAAACCTATTATTATGAAAGACTTGGCAGTGGTAATTCAGAGGGTTAAAGGGTCTTATTATTTAAATTTTTACAACATATCTAAGAATGTCATAGCGTCAATTGATATCAAGCTAATAAAATTCAAAATGGTTCCTCCTAAATATCTACTGTCCTTATAATTCTGTTCGATCCTGGAAATAATTTTTATGAAAGACTTAATTAATGGTTAAAAGGTTAAAAGTTGGGAAACTTGGTAAAAAGAGAAAGAATTGAAAAAAATGTTGTAATAAAAATATTTGTTAGGTAAACCTAGCGAGAAGAATCTGTACGCTGATATTGAGGCGGCCTGGCACGCCCTCAGGACAAGACTAGGCGTGTCACCTGAAAATATCATCCTTTACGGTCAGAGCATTGGAACTGTACCTACTGTTGACCTCGCCAGTAAATTCGAGGTTAGATACTTTTTTATCTAAAGGGATTGTTCACCAATTTGAAGATGTTCAAAATTCGCCCCAAGTCGGAATTTGTAACGGGACTAAGCCCCTTATAACCACTCAGAGGGGAGGAAGGTCAGCCACAACAATTTCTAGTCCGAGCCTCATTCTCATCATTTTCTCGTCCGAGCCACCTCGAAAGTGTTCAATTCTCCAAGATAAAACAATTTTTTAAAAATTCGGTCACGTTAGAGCATTAACGAAATATTAAATTTTTGTAATTAGAAAGAAATACTTTCAATAGATTTTAAGTTTTTGAGTGCAATGTCCTTAAGAATATTCACCTTTCTTACGCGCATTTTCAAATAATTTAGGTGTAGAATGCCACAAATAATTCCAAGTTTATAGAACTTTAATCTTTTTTGTTAATTTTAGCGAAAACCATAGATTTTTTTCGGGCGGTTCCATGGGGAAAAATATAGGCAGAGATATGCCAAATATTTTGCTATTTATTTTGTATCACGAAGGTTAGCCATTACGGAGGCAGAAGAGATTTAAGTTTCACCTAAATAGAGTTTGACATCATTCTCACGATTTCAACATGATGTAATCATTGCAATACTTTAGTCTATCCATATTTTATGCCCTAACGTGGGCTGATTTTTAAAACAGCGTTATCTCCAAGATTTAGAAACTTAAAAACACATAATAAACGAAGGACGATGATTCAGAGGTGGCTCGGACGAGAAAATGAGGAGAACGTGGCTCGGGCGATAAATTATTGTGGCTGGCCTTCCTCCCCTCACTCAAAGATGTCCCTGAGGGAAAACAAATATCCGTTTTATTTTTCATAATCTACTTTCACGTTTTCATATATTTTTGTTAAGTTGGAATATTTTCCCCCTTCCAAAAATTTTGCAAACTCAATTTAAAAAACAATAAAATATTTCACGACAACGAAAAATATATATAAAAATTTTGTATAGAAATGAAAGGTTTTAACAGATCATATTCAGCAAATACGCAACCAATCTAAAAGCAAAGATATTAGCTTCAAATTTTAACTTGGGTTTTCTCAAATTATTATTTGATAATTTTTATTTTTATTTTTATTTTTATTTATAATAGATATGATTGATAATTTTTATTTATTACGTATTACGTCACAAGAACTCCAACCAATGAGAGTGCAGTACTGGTCACATGATACAGACAGACATATATATGCATTTTCGTGATAAGCTTGATAAGCTTTCCGCCTATACCCCCTTTCATTTTTCCTTTACATTACCTTTAACGACGGTCTAGGGGTTACTTGTCGGGTTCCCTTTTAGATCATGTTATTCATTATGTTAATATTAGCTTTATCGTCTTCTGAGATGGTTTTTAAAAATTTTCTTTTTGAGATAACGTTCAATTAATTTCTTGGAGGTTTCTTTCTGTCTTCTTGATAAAACTTAAATGATATTATAATTTTGAGTAATTAAGCAATTGTTTTTATATTTCTTAATCCTCAGTGCAAGAAATCACAAGTAATAACTATACTTATTGTTTAAACCAGTGATCCAAGATGATGAGAAAATATAATATTTCAGTTCACATTGACGTCATTCTTTTCAAAACTTACGTCATTATATTATAAACATGACGTCATTCATTCATTCATTCATTCATTTATTTGGAATACTTAGTACTGTAAGAAAAAAAAGAGTACCGCGATTTACAACTGCATTCTTTCAACTTTCATTTGAGAAACAATGTCTGAAAGGGTTCCCATTTTATATTCACCCCTCTTTCAGAAACCGAAGCCTTATAAAATATATTTAACTGTTAATAATGATGAAAATGTATTTATTTTTTATTTTTATCCCATTAGGTGTGTCAAACCTACTTTCATAAAAAAGAATTTAATTTAATGATTGTTCCGCAGTAATTTCAGTTTAAAGTTCAAAGGTTTTAACTTTTGGTTTGAATGGCGCTAAGCCAAATCTACTAAACTCAATATTAACACCATCATACAGGTTTACCCTCAAAGGATGAGACAGACACGTTGATATCCTTCACTAAACTAATCTCCCCTGATCTGGTTGGAGCTGTACCCTTCACTAAACTATACTACCCTGATTAGGTTGGAGCTGAACCCTTCACTAAACTATACTACCCTGATTAGGTTGGAACTAATAGATTGAAGCTGAACCCTTCACTAAACTATACTACCCTAATTAGGTTGGAACTAATAGGTTGGAGCTGAACACTTCACTAAACTATACTACCCTGATTAAGGTCGGAGCTGTGATCCTGCATTCTCCCCTGATGTCGGGAATGAGAGTTGCGTTCCCTCAAACCAAGAGAACTTGGTTCTTTGATGCATTTCCAAGATATTTTACTCTTAACACATTACTCTATCCTTAAAAGATATTTTACTCTTAATACATTACTCTGTCCTTAAAAGATATTTTACTCTTAATACATTAGTTTATCCTTTAAAGATATTTTACTCTTAATACATTAGTTTATCCTTTAAAGATATTTTAGTCTTAATACATCACCCCTTCATTAATACATATTTTACTCGAACCCATTACCCTACCCTTTATCGGATATATATTTTACTCAAACCAATAACCCTACCTTCTCCCATATAGATATTTTACTCAATCCCTCCACCTACCCATTAATAGATAAATGATGTGATTATTTGAGATGAGACTTGCAAGGTGCCCCATCTAGGGCATCCCAGACCGTCTACAGAAATATCAGACTCATCCCCTGTTCAAATTTAAAATATTTCTACTCGTTCTCAAAGTTTCTAAAGTGCAATTTAAAAATCTATTATAAATTCATCAGCTAAGCTGTTAAAACAAAATCCACTCTAACTCTCACTGAAAAGATCTTCGAGGAAATTATTATATTTTAAAGTTTCAACCCTTCGAATCTTGTTCATTGTTCTCAATTGCAGTTGAATAGAATATTCTGCATCACTCCAACTAAACCTTCTGCTGTATTCCGATCTAATTATGAAGATTCCATGAGTTAAAAGTCAGGAAATATCCTTGTCCGCTAAAGATATTCCAACTTGAATATCAGATTTATTTAATTAATTTTGTTCCTCTTGTCAGTAAAATATCGGAATTGTTTAAATATTTTATTCAAATTGATATCATGAATTAATTGAACCTATATATGTAAGAGAGACCAGCCATTGAATCTACGTAACATATTTGAAATTAATAGACTTTAATCGTTCGGAAACTTTTAGATTCAGAGGTTTAACTAATTAGATCTGCGAGAAATAAAATAAATTTGCAACAATTGCAACATAGCGACATTTCATAGTTAAAGGAAAAAAGAAGACGAGGAAAATTCCACTGTTTTCTGAATCTCACTGACATGAGAAAGAATTCTGAAAGTAAAGAGTTGCCTAGATGGCAATCCTACCACACACAACATATATTTTTCCTCAATTGAGAATTGATTAAAACAAAAAATTCTCTAATTATAAATATTTTCAGTATCGACAAGATACCTCGAGTAACCTCCCCGGTCCTAGTTATTCATGGAACTGAAGATGAGGTAATATTTGTATAATTTATTAGTCAATTTTTCTACAACTTATAAATTATATGATTTATTTTTATTATCTTTTTAAAGTGATTTTGGCCATTTTTAAATTCTTTTTAATTCATACGCATATATTTCATTATATTCATTAACATAATAACATTTACAATAAGTTTTTTCATTAGCACTGAAGTTGATTTTTTAATTCAAATGTTATTATCCTTTTCCTTCATTGTTTTGGTGTTGCTAGTTTTGTGTGTTCATGAGAAGCATTAAAATGATTTTGGTTTCAATATGAAAGTGACAAAGGTACTGATAACTCTCCACACACCATAACTTTATAATCTCTATATCTTTGGAACCTAATGTCATATTTCTAACTAAAGGTTTTATAGCACAAAAAGTCGAAGTTTGAAGTATCAAAAGGTTCAACATCAAATTGCAAAGAATAGACATAAGAAAATTAAAGTTTTTGGCAATTTATCAGTTCCTTAGAATAACATAGTAGTAATATGTGGTAAAATTATTCTGGATTATCTTGATTATTTTGATTGATATGAGTTGTTTGATTGATTAACTGATTAATTATCCAAGAAGATCTGGTTAATTCTGTTTTCTATATCTAGGTTATAGATTTCTCTCACGGGTTGGCAATCTATGAAAGATGTCCCCGGGCAGTTGAACCTCTTTGGGTCGAGGTAAAAAAGTTTTTAACTTTTTTGTAAACAACTTGTGGTTTGGATAAAACAGGGATGTATTTTCTCTAAATATCATCCCCCCTGAAGAAAATAAAAAAATTATGGGAAAAGAAATTAACTTGTGGGTAAAAAATATCCAAAACAAAGAAAAAAAAATGCTTTGTTAACAATGAACTTTTTATTTTTGCCCCCACAAATCATTTAATGTTATTTCTGAAAAATATACACCCCTGGAAAAATATTACCCTGCTTCATTGCATTATCAATGGTTTCCTTTGGTTCAGAGTTTTTCCAAAATGGTATTTTGAAAACTTGAATGATTTTTCTTTTCTTTTACTGAAAACAAAACTTTGCATAAGTTTATCCGATGATTTAAAAAACAACTAGTCATAGTTAACTCGTATACAGGGAAAACTATCTTCTGAACATAGCATTAAGTGACCCTCTACCATGCAAAGAGGGCAATGCCTGATTCAATTATGTGATATTGACGATTTTAGGTTTGTAACTGTTAAATTCTGAATTTTCTATTTGTTTTTCTTCAGTAGATTAAGCAAAAGTCATTTTGTAGAAATAAGCATATTTCAAAATTATAAACATTGATATATAAGTCATACTTGATCAGCCATAGATCTTATAAGGATTCCCTTGTGAATCGGGCGTTGACATCTTTGCATAGAGGGTCACATGAAATTACAGTTTCTTTAAGATTCCTAAACGTGACCCAAAAATATTTTATTTTTTCACAGAAAATTTTTCTTAATTTTATGAAGACGACTTTCTGATTGTTAAATAATTTCAGGGAGCCGGGCATAACGATGTAGAACTATACAACCAATATCTAGAACGTCTCAAAACCTTTGTAGCTCATGAGCTCACCAACTGACACCGATCCAAACCTGTCGGAGCTGTAGAGCTCGTCCTTACTCAACCTTCCGGACCAGCTCAGTCTCCGGGTCCCTGGGAGTACCGGAAGGACTGGCCTGAAAGGCTCAAGTCTATGAACCAAATACAACCCCGGGCCCAGGCATTTTCTCTGGACCAAAACCGAGTTCGTGACCCGATTATTATTGCAAACGTCCGGCCTACGTCGGATACTCGAATCCTAAACCTGGTTCAATCCGGTTCTCAAGAGGTCGGCTCCGGTCACTCGAGTCCATTGAACCAACGGAGGACTGATGTTGACCGACTATTATCTGATGTCTCCGTATCCCCTCCAGACTGTTTTCAATCTATCTCAATGTCGGAGAAACTGTTGTAGTAGAATTCTCAACACTAAGATCATCCACCCTACTCGGTACACCATGTACATTGTACACTGTACTGTATAGTGTACATACTTTAGACAATGCATGTACACACTGCACCCAGTGTACACAATTCCCTATCGTTGATCAAAGTGATGCCTCATAGACGAAAAAGACGGATTCTTCAGTCATTGAGATTAAGAATTTATAATTATATGGATTTGTGTTGTTCTCGTCCTATCCCCTCACCTAACCTAATTGATATAAACCTTCCTTCTCCAAACCTCCTTGGTTTTCGGGTCTACTGAAACCTGCATGTTCTTATTTTCTTAATTATCCAGGGAGTTTATTTTTATCAATGCCAAGTTCAAATACTTGAAACTCTTGAAAGAAGAGTAAATATGTTTTATTTTAGTTAAATTATTTAGAAGTCTGGTTGTACAGTGTACACGTAATATTATCATGGAAACCTCATTCACATTTTCTTATTTCTTCTTGTCCGCTCTTAAACCTTGATTCATGTTAAAATTGTAGATTCAATGCTGATCAAATGATATCCATGAACTAGCAAGGGTCAAAGATGAACTTGGATTTACCTTTAGCCAAGAGTAGACCATTTACTTTATTTTTAGACTTTTCTGAGTTAATAAAGTTTATCTATTTAACCTTGTTAACCAGGAGAGTTCTGTCAAATCCTTGATATCCAGTAGCTCTGTTAAGCCTTGGTATCCAGTTTTAGCTCTGTTAAGCCTCGATATCCAGATTTAGCTCTGTTAAGCCTTGATATCCAGTAGCTCTGTTAAGCCTTGGTATCCAGTTATAGCTCTGTTAAGCCTCGATATCCAGATTTAGCTCTGTTAAGCCTTAATATCCAACTTAGCTCTGCTAATTATTGATATATAGTTTAGCTCATTAAATCCTTGATATTTAAGCTTTAGCACTCTTAAGCCTTGATATCCAGCTTTAACTCTGTGAAGTCTTGATATCAACCTTTAGCATTGTTAAATCCTTGATATCCAGTAAGCCCTTTCATTCCTTGATATCCAGCTTTACTGAATCCCTGCATATGCATTGGTACAAATTGATTCTTTTTAAATCCAAAATGTTGTGGTTTAGTTTTTTCATCTCAACAAGTCCAACAAACATTTTTTGATTTATCCGCCGATCCCTTCTTGTTCTTTAAATCAATAAATTTGTATCAATCCCCTTCTATTAATAAACTAGTGTTTTGTAACCAATCCTACGTGTCGCTTGCATATTGAATGTATTATAAAAGAAATTAAAAATTTATTCAAACCATTTTCATAACGTTTGTTTATAATCCAAAGAGAATCTGTTTATCAATTAAACTTGCCAGAATTGTGCAAAATAGATATTTCTGTTCAATTAAAAATGTGAATTTTGAATATTATTTTAAAGCGAAGTTCTATCTCCTTTGCATAGACTACTAGAAATGTTAGAAAATGGATTCAGAAGTCTGGAATTAGTTAGATAATGGATTCAGGAGTCTGGAATGAGTTAGATAATGGATTCAGAAGTCTGGAATTAGTTAGAAAATGGATTCAGGAGTCTTAAACTTTAATATGATGGATTTGGAAGGCTGTTAGATATCAGGAATTCAGGAGTCTGGGAATAGACTGATAATGGTTTAGAAGTCTAGAAACTGTTACATAATTGATTCAGAAGTCTGGAAGATGCTAGATAATGGATTTAGAAGTCTGGAAACTGTTAGATAATGGAATCAGGAGTCTGGAACACCTCAGAAAATGGATTCATGAGTCTGGATTATCTCAGAAAATGGCTTTAGAGTCTGGAAACTGTTATTTGTATTTTGGTTAAGCGTCTGAAAATGGTCTGATACTGGATTCAGGAGTCTGGAAACTGTTAGATAACGGATTTAGATTGTAAAGACTTAGATTCTTGATTCAGGACTGAGTTTGAAATCTCTCAGATTATTGATTCAGGAGTTTCAAATATCTGAAAAGTGTTCTCGCAGATCTGAACATTTTAAAGTCTCCAAAGCTTTAAATATTAGTTGGTATTTTTGCTTATAGGCTAAATTGAGGAGATTAAAATCTGGCCAAGTTGATGGAAAACTTTGTAAAAAATCATTTTTTTTATATATTTCAGTTTCAACATAATATTTAATGTGCATAGATGTAGGATAAATTGTGTTATCCTTGTTCTATTATCGACTGATATAGATTATTCTTAATTTTTATTCTATTAAAATTGTAACTCGGACCAATTTTATTTTATTATGTTTGAATCTGGAAAAAACTAACGTTGAAGAATAAAATTATGTATTAATAAAGCTATGCTTTAGTTGTTAAAAATGAGAAATGAGTTGGATCCGTATTTTAAGATGTTTAAGATGAGAGAGAAGAATCATGGGGTATTAGAAAATTAAGATTTATTTATAACGACAAAAATTTTCCAATTTGGGCATTGCCGGACCATAGAAAAGTTTTAATTAGTCTTAAATGAATCTATTTTTGATTAGTTATACAAAAAAATTCTTTAGTCAGGAAGAATCTCAAAATAAAAAGGAAAAAATTATTATGGTGTTTGGAGAGTTTGGACCAGTTTGTTTTATCATCCACTCTTTATGATTCAATGTACTTGCTTCCGGTAAACAAACAAACCCATTTCCGGTGGGAAATTTTAGCAATGAAGACGTTGAATGCCTTGTTTACAATTTTTCCATAGATATCTAGGAATTTTTCTTATGAGAATCTTCGGTAATCAAGCAAAATAAACGAGTTCAAATCATATAGCACATATGGGGTGAAGCAAAAGAAAAAATATACTCGCAAAATGTTGATGGCATTTTTGTTCCTTATAAAAGAACAAGTTTACGAAATAGAGTTTTTTTTTATTAAGAGCTGCAGCAATAACATTCTTATTAGTTTTGAAATATCTTAAATCGAAACTTTTAATAGTTTTTGTCATTAAAAACAGTTTTGTCAGAGTTCAGTCATTTTTTATTTTATAGTGCTCCTTGTTTTCAGCTTAATTGTACATAATATTACGGAGATTATCCGCCATTACGATAGTGAAACTTAATTACTTTTTACAATTCTACCAATGAGATATCTGAGAGTGAGAGGTACAGGGTGTCCCAATAAACATGGGAATTCAGTGACGAATTCGATATCGTCTTTTTAACTAATTCTTTGATTTAGTATAGTTATACCTACTGAGAAAACGTAATCCGTAAGATTTTCCTCTGCTATATTTACAATTTCTTTGTTTATGTTTTGACTGCATACGGTTGTACTTAGTAAAACAAGAAAATTACAGTATACAAACAGAGTAAACTTGCCCGTATTCACTGTTCATCTTGCGGAGACATTATAGACACATCTTTACAGCCTTTTACCGTTTTCATTAAATAAACTCTAGCAGACATAATAATATTCATGGTTTTACAAATTAGGTATTGCAATGCTAATTCATAACAAAGACGATATCGAATTCCCATGTTTATTGGGACACCCTGTAGGATAACTCAACATGGAAATAGTCGGACCACTGTTTATTTGCTCTGCTGCTGAAACAAAAGATAAGTAGTTACTCAGTCTACATAGTTCAACTACTAATCGCTATTCATTATATTTGCAGGTCTCAGAAACTCTATAAGGTAAACATTCATACTTTTTCTTGCCTGCAGTGTAGAAAAATTGTTTACTTTCTTCCTCTTAGCAAGGTCAAAGCATAGTTCAGGAGCTCTATTTCACTTTTACAGGTTTAGAAGCTGTAGCTCATCTTTACAGGTTTAGAAGCTCTTGTTCATCTTACAGGTTTAGAAGCTGTAGCTCATCTTTACAGGTTTAGAAGCTCTTGTTCATCTTACAGGTTTAGGAACTTTAGTTCATCTTTACAGGTTTAGGAACTTTAGTTCATCTTTACAGGTTTAGGAACTTTAGTTCATCTTTACAGGTTTATGAACTTCAGTTCATCTTTACAGGTTTAGGAACTTCAGTTCATCTTTACAGGTTTATGAACTTCAGTTCATCTTTACAGGTTTAGGAACTTTAGTTCATCTTTACAGGTTTAGGAGCTCTAGTTCATCTTTACAGGTTTAGGAGCTCTAGTTCATTATTACAGGTTTAGGAGTTCTTGTTCATCTTTACAGGTTTAGGAGCTCTAGTTCATCTTTATAGATCTACGGGCTCCAGTTCATCTTTATAGATCTAGGAGCTCCAGTTCATCTTTATAGATCTAGGAGCCCTAGTTTATCTTTATAGATCTAGAAGCTCTAGTTCATCTTTACAGGTCTAGGAGCTCTAGTTAATCTTTACAGGTCTAGGAGCTCTAGTTCATCTTTACAGGTCTAGGAGCTCTAGTTCATCTTTATAGATCTAGGAGCTCTAGTTCATCTTTATAGATCTAGGAGCTCTAGTTCATCTTTACAGGTCTAGGAGCTCTAGTTAATCTTCATGTTTAGTAGTTATAGTTCATCTTTACAGGTTTATGAGCTCTTTTTCACATTTATAAGTTTAGAAGCTCTAGTTCATCTTTGCAGTTTTATGAGCTCTTTTTCCTCTTTACAGGTTTAGAAGCTTTAGTTAATCTTTACAGGTTTAGAAGCTCTAGTTAATCTTTACAGGTTTTGGGAGCTCTAGTTAATCTTTACAGGTTTAGAAGCTCTAGTTCATCTTTACAGGTTTTGGGAGCTCTAGTTAATCTTTACAGGTTTAGGAGCTTTAGTTAATCTTTACAGGTTTAGAAGCTCTAGTTCATCTTTACAGGTTTAGGAGCTCTAGTTCATCTTTATAGGTTTAGGAGCTCTAGTTAATATTGAAAAAAATATATTTTTAGATCAAAAAATTTGATTTTGGGTTTTAAAAAATAAAATTATTATTGGATCTTGAAATTTTTAAATGAATTAATCTTTAAATTCAGCAAAATGGGATTTTACTTTCGTGTTAGAAACAAAATCAAAATTTTCAAATGATCATTTCTTTAGACATCGCATGTATGTATGTACTACAATTCTACATAAATGTGCAACTCTTAATTAAAATTTTCAGAGCTTTGCACCGGCTTGTGCACAATCAAAAATGATTTAAAAATTTAGTTTTGCTCCGAAATATATGGTTTAAAGGATTAGAAAGAATTTGAAGGATTAAAACAAGTTATTGTTAAACCCTATTTGTTCTGCAGAACATTTTTTATTTTTTAAAAGGTTCAACCTTTTGAATAACGCAGATTTCAATAGAAGAGGAGTATTCAAAGGTATGTTTAAAACGAATTATTGTTGAAAATTTTTTTTCTACTATGGAAAGGTTGCCTTAATACTATATTTAGTGCCTTAAATTTCTGGCAGCCGTAAACAATTTTACTTATCCCTTATCGTCCACGGATGGAAAATTCTTTTTTCACATTTATATATTTACCCCCGGTCCCCCCGCCCTGTTTAGAATACCCCCAGGTATACAATGCTACTGTAGACTGTCTTAGTAATGAATATTGAATATTCTCTAATAAAAACCAGTGTTGTATATAGTGTACTAGCTAAAGAACTGCAGCGTTGCCCAGGGTACTCATAGCTACTCCCGCCGTTTCACAGCGCTTGGTCGTAAATTACAATTCTTGACATTAAAAGTGAACCTACTCAATCGAGAATCGCGAAACCAAGCTAAACACATTCACGTGGTTCTCCCGATTTCATAAATCAAAATTTGAGGGAAATCGGTCTAGGGACTCTTGAGTTATAATCAGACAGACAAACAGAGATTTCAACGTTATAGGAGTTAAAGTAATGAATCTAGGGAGAATATATCCAATTCTTCACACTGAAACGGATGTCAAGGGATTGTAAATGTGATTTTTATAATCCTATATTTAAAAAAAGTGGCATGTCCACTTCACACTGGTACTCTACGAACTACTTTATGAAGATATTGTCATTTTTCTATCGAAAAACGTGTTGGATATTAACAACTCCTTTCAATCTACCCAGCGACTTTTTCCAGAAAACAAAAGTCAAGCCTACTTTGATCCTGAGAATTTGCTGAGAATTTAAACTATAGATTTTTTAAAAATCAGGAATTTTGTCATCATTTTGCATATGATTTTCATCGATTCTGATGGACAAAAACATGAAAAAATTATGATCATTACACGATTGGCTGGGTGCAAACTTGCATGAAAAACTTGAGTTTTTTTATGCACGATTTTGCTCAGTTCAGGAATGGTCCATTGAAGTTGAGTTTCCTTTAAAATTAGAATTTTTATCATAACTTACTTGGGAACCCATCTTTGCCATTTTATTGGTGCTAAATTCAAAATTTGAGGAAAATCAGTTAAGGAGTCGCTGATTTATGACCGGACATACAAACAAACAGAGATTACCATCTACTTTATATATTTAAATGCAAATGCTGGCTCTGACAGAAGATTGTTTCGAAGAGTCTTCATTTTCAAATAACTTGGTATGAAAACCCAAAATGAAAAATCTTAACTAAAAAATGATCAAGTCACTCCCCAAGCTTTTAAATACAATTGTTGCCCATAAATCGGTAATGTTACTTCGGTCCTATAGCATTTCCGTCCTACAGTACTTCGGTTCTACTTCGGACCTACTGCAACATCGGGCCTATGCACATACTTTTGTACGCCGGATGCACACTTTTTGTAGGTCAGATGCACATTTTTTATAGGTCGGATGCACAGCTTTGTAGGTCGAATGAACACGTCTCTTGATTATTTAATGCCTAAAACAAGGTAT